AAAAGAAAAAAAACTCATGTTTGATCTGCACCTGGTGACAGGTCTCTGTGTCACAGCTCACACCGGGTTTATACTACCCACAGCTCGGACACGGGCAGTATGGGGACACCTGACCTGACACCAGCATCCTTCACTGCATGAAAGGTCAATATTCTAAAGCCTGGACAGCAGGACTCAGTTCAGGGTGGGACCTTGGGCACTCAGGAGACACGAACCAAATCTCAGCCTCTTCCTGCCCCACCAGACAGTAAGGAGGCCAGACAGAGAGGCGGGCGCAGAGCAGGGCACTGTCCGATGGGGATACAGCCCCCGTGGGGAGGGCTGGGTACCACGGCCTCCTTTCAACTTCCAGGATATGTGAGGTTGTTCCCAAGAGCATGCTGGGAGGAAGTTTCCACCCCAGACACTTACAGGCAAAAGAGGAGGTGCCCACGACTCCCCACCACCCTGGTCCACCAGGCCCAAGAAATCCCCTCACTCTCTCCAGCAGCAGCAGCACCCGGGTAGCTCAGTAGAGAAGCCCTGACAAGCAGCAGCACAGTGGCCCCGAGGGCGGCCACGCCCGGAGCCCCAAGCCCTCTCGGCAGCTTCCTGCCCCGCTCTCCTGGCCAGTGCCAGGCTTCTGAACACATGCCACGCCCTCTGGGCCCACAGATCCACTGCCACAGCCCAGTCTGTCCCTTCAGGAGGGCAAAGCAGAGCTGGGGGTGGGGACATCAACCACACAGCCAAGCCTGCCTGGGATGGCAGGGGCAGCAGACATGCTCAGCAGCTCAGTGCCCAGGCTGCGGAGCCACCCTCCCCAGGAGGGTCCCCGAGAAGAGCCAGGGCCCTCCGCTGCCCCTGCACCCGCCCGCCCCAGAGCCCCGCTCACATGGCCATCTCGAACTGCTCCATCCACCGCCGCTTCATGTCCTCCGTCTTGCAGAAGAACTGGAAGCCCTGCTTGCCTTGCAGGTGGATCAGGTAGAAGCCGTAGGACCACTGCGGGGACAGGGGGTCTGCAGCCAGCACGCATGTGCTCACGCACCCGTGTGCGTCCCTGTGCTCCTGCGGGGCGGGGCGGTGTGTGGCCGCGTAGCCACGCACACATGTCCTCACCCAAGCGTGCATGTGTGACCGTAGTGTGCATGTGTGCCTGCGGGACGTGCCACACGTGGGTCTGGGGCTCCTCTGCAGGAGTGTGTGCGTGTGTTCTAGCTCATGTCTGAGCGTGCATATGCTGTCCTGGCCCAGACACACACACACATTCACACGTGAATGCACATGCATGCGTAGGCACTCCAACAGTGTCTGGGCACACGCATGCTCGTATGTGTGCACATGCGTGTGTGCATGTGCAGGTGTACTGGGCTGCGCGCAGGGCTCTCGGGCACGTGCATGTATACCCGCGTACACACAGCGCTCACGTGCACCACGCCAGGCCTGTGTGCAAGGACGCTCTGCTGAGTGTGTACACGTATGTGCATGTGTGTGTGACGCGGGGTGCATGCCAAGGACCTGCCTGCTAGCAAGACCTGACCCCCTCAAAGGTCGCGGCTCAGCCAGTGTGTCCAGGAATCTGTCTGTCAGGAACTGGCCTCAACTCCCACTTCCTCAATCCCCTGCTAAAACACACTCCTCTGATGGACAGCAAAAGGAAACACAACTTTCTAGGTGGAGGAAGACCCAGCTCAATGCCCAGGGCCGGGCCAGTCAGTGAGCTGGGGTGGGGGTGGGGGCTGCGGGGTGCTTACCATTTTCCCATGAGACTAGGAAAGCATAAGGAGAGGGAGGGAAAGGGGCGACAGTCACCGAGAGGTTTGGCTAGCCTATGGGGACAGAGCAGCCCGGGGCAGACAGCACACAGCCCCTGCCACGTGCCCCAGCTCAGGGGACCCCTGAGCTTGGGGCGTGATCTCAGATCACCTCTAGGGCCCCAGCTGCTTGGTGGGGACAGCAGGTGTGGGAAGCACCTGCGCACACGGGTCTGCTCCCGTCTGTCCGCTGAGGCCAAGGCAGCGGTATCCAGGAGCCGGGCTCCCGCCCACGGGGCACAGTGTGCTAGTGCCCTGCACACAAGTCACGGGAGCAGGAGGGCTCAGTGCCGACACAGCAGCCCCACCCCGCCCCCCACGCCCAGCTCGTCCCACCGCGGGGGCCCCGGCCTGCAGCAGGCAGTGGGAGTGCGGGTGAGGCAGGGAAGATCCCATGGCCAGGCACGAGGCCAGTCGGGATCGCGTCACCTGTGCCCTGGGGAGCCGGGGTCCTGACGTACGTGACTCCTGCTGCTGGAACCCCTACAGCAGCCCGAGCGAAGAGTCTTCCCGCCGGCCTCCACTGACCCAGGCGGCCCGCGAGGCACCTAGGTGGCTGCGCTGCCCGTGCCTGGTGCGCCCCACAGCACACCTACCTTCTTGATGTCCTTGTTGTGCGTGGGGTCATCAGTCATCTTGTGGAAGAGCAGCTCGATGACCTCCTTCAGCTCGTAGCTGTAGCCCTTCCTCTTGCACACGATGACCACCTTGTCAAACAGGAACAGGTACCTGGCCGGACAGCACGCGGGGCTGTCAGCACCACACGGCCCCCTCTCGGGGACTCGCCCCACCCTGCTCTGGCTCACCCCGAAGACCAGGCCAGCTTACATGGCTGTCTCTGCGAGACTCTGGGGAGTCCCCAGAGGGCAGGACCTGAGTCTGCTGTGACCCCGCCCCGGCACACAGCGGGTGCGCCTGAGGGCGCTGGGCATGTGGGCAGCGTGCCAGCGCCATGCTCCCAGCTCCTGCTGCCCGCACCTGGCGGCCACGAGGCAGAAAGGCCGTCCGGGCAGGGCCCACCGCGGAGGGCAGCCCGTGGTCCAGGGCCCTCTGCCCGGCTCACCCATGCTCACTTAGGCAGCGCAGAGCCGGGCTGGCCACTCCTTCCGTGGAAAGGCCCTGTCACCAGGGATACCCGGGCCCGCACCCACGGCTCACCTGTCCTGTTTGGTGTGGTTGACAATGGACCGGACCTTCAACTCGCCGTCGATCTTTGGCCTCCCAAACTCCTCCAGTTTCACTTGCTGGGGAAGGCAGGAAACGCCATTAGCAGCAGGGCAGGCGGCCACGTGCCCCAGGCACAGATTGGTGACAGGCACCCAACAGCGCCAGGCCGTGCTGAGGGTGAGGGCGCAGCTGGGGGGCAGGAACGGGGCCTCAGGCCGCTGCCTCCTCCCCAGATGGCCCCACAAGGGCACAAAGACCACCTGAAGGTCCCGGTCACAGTCACAGACATGGCTGTATGGAGCCTGAGTAGGGCCTGGTAGGAAGAGCCAGATGCCAGGCCCCCGGAAAGCAAAGCGAGGAGAAAGCTACCCTTATCGGGGTGGCCACGGATGGCACCCCCGAGGAGGGCTCGAGACCAAAGCCCCAGCCGGGCAGGATGTGCCCGCAGCTGCTCTCCCCGGAAATGCCTCTCACGATAACCTCGGTGCAGCCCCCCAGCAGAGCCTGATGAGCCGGAGCTGTCCGTCACTCCCCAGGTTCCCCCGTGACACCTGCTCGGGGTGCCAGGTCTCAGCCCGAGCCCTTGAGCACAGAGAAGCACCAACGCCAGGGCAGAGGGGGCTGATCGTGGGGGCGCCGGTGCCACCGGCATATGTCCTGCTCTCGTCTAACAGCGGGGGCTCGCACACGTGAGACCGTCACCATCCTCCTTGTGTCAGGGGAAGGTCAGCAGCCACTGTGTCAGGATCCCGGCGGGAGCCTCCACGCCTGGGCCCTGGTGGGCGCTAACAAGACGGACAGTTCTACATGCATGGGCAGGAGCCACACCGCTCAGCAACTACTTTCTGTTCCTTCGTTGGTGACACAGCAGGACGCTGTCCCCGCGTGGCAGGGCGCAGAGGGCCAGGCTCCTCCTACACCTGCAGGCCCCAGGCTTACGGCTGGCTTGGCGTCCGCATGTCCGCTCCCATGCTTGTGAGGTGAAATCCCCCAGCAAGTGGAAATGTCCATGACAGAAGGAGTGTTCTCAGGCAGACCACCCTGCCACCTGAGGGGCAGCTGGCCGTGACCAGACACTGCTGGTGCCTGTCGGGACTCAGGTGCTGTCCAGCACAGGCCCATCGCCCGGGATGTCAGTGGTGTGGAGACTGGACATAAAACTGCACGATGGAGACCCCAGGGGAGGGGAAAACAGAGCCGTGTCCCGCCCACTGTCCCTGCAGCCACGTCTCGCCCACTGTCCTTGCCGCCACGTCCTGCCCACTGTCCCTGCAGCCACGTCCCACCCACTGTCCCTGC